ATAATGATTACTCTGAATTCTATAGCAATAGGTCTCTTTTTTTTTATTAACAAAATCCAAATCTAGATTAGTAGCAATTGATATAAAAGCAAATGCTTGATTATAAGCTCTTATTTTGTTAACAAATAGTACTTTAGATATTGAATCTTTTTCTGTAAGAAAATAATAAATTTCTGGTGGTGGTGCTTGAAGTGCTAATATAACTTCACCATTCATTCAACAAAGTCTGGTTTTTTCCTCTTCTATCTTAACGCCTCATAATGTTTATATTTAATGTTCATTTTCCCCACACTATACTCACATTGTTCTTTTTATCATCCCTATCATCATCATCATCATCTTCTTCTTCACTATCATTCCCACTATCATCACTATCATTATCTTCACCATCATTGCCATTATTATCTCCATCCACTCCCACCCTTACTTCTCACTTTTATACTCTCTCACCTTTCCTCTCTATTCCTTTCTCTTTCACTTTTATTAAAAATTCACTCAACTTTGGTTAACTGCCTATCTACTATTACCCAAGTCTTAGTTACTAATTTTTTTTGCTGACATTTGGCCTTTTCATGCTAGCTTCGCAGGCATAAAAATAGCAAAATGTCAGCAAAATTAATTAATGACCAAGAACTGCGCAATAGTAGAGGGTAGATTAATATAACTATACTAAACTACTCTTAACTATACTTAGATTAGGATTTACTTAAAATTACTAAATTAGCAAAAATAAATTAAATCACTTCAACATATCTGTGATCTGGTTGAAGTATGTTACTACCAAGATTTAATGTTGTTAAAAAGATGTTCTTGACAAAATATATTAGCTAATGCCTTTTCTCATTTGAATCTAAGATTATTATTGTAATCTAATATTGTTAAAAAGAGTTTGTACAAAGTGTATCAGCTAATGCTTTTCTTTCTTCAGATTCAAGATAATTCAAAAAATATTTAAAGCTGTTAAGTTTTTTTAATTCTAATTAAGATTAATACTGCTAAGATTCAAATCTTTTAGTCTAGTATTTTACAAAGTGTCTTTCTTTGTTATTTATTTATTTAGCTAGAATATAATTTCAAAATACAAAATAAAATAAGTGATTTGAATCTAATTCAACAAATAAAGATAGCCTATCAAATATAAAAACTTAATCTTATTATTATTCATGCTTAAAAATTTTTTTGATATTAACTAGATATGCCAGATTGACTAGATTTGATTTAAAATTTCAATTTCTTTTTTTTGGCAAAATCTATTTTTGCTTTTATTTATTTTTAATTATTTCTTAATAAAAATCTGTTATTAAAAAATTAAGCAAAATTTTAATTTCTATTTTTTTGGCAAGTTTTATTTTTATTTAAACAAAGTCTTTATTTATTTCTAATTATTTTTAATAAATTTTGTTTTTAAAATATTATATAAAATTTTAAGTTTTATTCTTTACAGGATCTATTTTTATTTAAATAAGTTTTT